CCGTAAGACAATCGTAGCCATTTCCGGTGCTCCCAGAGTTATTTTCAGACATCTCGGGCGGTTTCTGTGGTTATTGGAAGAACAGTGGAAACGGCTAACTGCTGTAGTTTAGACCTGACAACATTCAATCAGATCTTGAATGAGCTGCCGGTCTTTTCTGTCCTTTATTGGCATTTTGATGTTTCTGTATAATTTATTCGTGGGAATCCATGTATGAGAATCACTCAGTCACTGTGTGTTCCCTGTACACTATCAAGGTTATTCCATTAGTGTACGCGTTCGCTCCATGTTCTATCTGATTGAATCGCTGTATCATTTGAAGTGCCCCAAATGAGAAAGCTGGACAGAAGGACGTTTCCTGCATCCGATTCCCTTCCTAGTGTCACTGGAAACAACCCGGGTTCTCTGGCATGAGGTGAATTTGGTTGTCGCCGAAGGCGTTTGAGACCCACAAGTTGGGTGGCAATCCTAATGTGCATAAATTGCCCATTTCAGCACCTCAGCTCTTCTACTTAACTCTCTCTCAGTGACAATGCTGGGGCTTCGGGAACATTTGTATAATTCACAGTCAAAGAGGTTTTAGTGACCAATTTCTTTTCTGCACTAGATTTCTTTTCTTTAAAGAAACAGATACTAGAAGTCCCGGAGTTTTTGCGGGCTCCGAGGTAGCAAGTGCTTCTGCTGTCTCTTTTATCGTTTCGCTCGGCTGTACCGTTTGCATCCGCTACCATAGGGTGACCACGTGTGCTGAGCATTTTGTTTTTCCAGGCATTTGACACATGAAAGGTGAAAGTGTTTTAAGCAGTATGTGCATAATTACCCTGTTTTAACGTCTTACCTGCAACTCCGTAAGCCAAATACTCCCAATGCCATCAAAACACCTGGTGCGGCAGTCGATGACACTGTACAACATCCCGCTTTTGCATTTTATCAATCGGCGAGGCTAATGATGTATGAAAAGCTCACGTGACACGAAAGAAGTTGTCTCGGTCAGCCACTCCTTCCGCGGCAGTGGAGATCACAAGTGCACAGAACAATGACAAAGATCACGTTGGAAGTATCGGTTGGTCATGCTGGTCGCAGTGAGACAAACACATGTGTGACAGTAGTGGTAACAATGGCCGCACTGAACAACAAAAAACATATTCGTAAAATGCTTGCAATTTACTTTGGAAAGCTCAAATAGGACTCATTGGAAAAAATGTTGAATCTCCTTTCGAGCGATATCACAATATGGACACAGCGAATAAAATTGCGTGTTCCTACGAGTTCGTTTTTTGGGGAACACACGATCTTCCATGGCCAAAACCAGGCAAGATATCCGTCTCCGCAGCAATGCTCATGTGTAACGACCAGAGTGTAAACATCATCCAGTCACGGGGCTGAAATGGTAATCATTTCTTTTCCCATTTCACACGATCTCTCTCCCTCTCCCGGCTCCCACCAAACCGTTTGACATAAATTGTGATGCATTAGCCTGTAGACAAAACAATGTGAACATGGTTTAATTAGGTGAGGGAATATCGAGGCATTCTTCTGTTGTAATATACTGCTCACATCACATGAATAGTCGTTGACAGCGGTTGGCGGATTCTGACAATATTTAGAAATAAAACGGAGAAGTAAAGTGTTGTATTAACATAAGTTGCGAACAGACCGATGAACTGCTTGACCACAGATTCAGAGCCGTTCTTAATTGAAACCGCGACTTGGTTGTCCCAGATTACATATATATACAGGTGTTGACCAAACTCGTGCAACATCACCCTCATTTTTAAAACCCATTTCAGCTTGCAATAGCATACTTATATACAGATGGTTATGGGTACAATGTATTTATTCCTGACTTTATCTCCAACATCTAAGTTCTTAGTTCATTTCTATGATCATTTAAATGTGCGCGACCTTGAGTGTCGCTATAAAATTTGCAGTAGTTCGAAAGTTACAGCTCTGATTTAGAAAATATTTTGGGCAAAGTAGCATGGATGTTCATTCATTTTAATAGATGATTCGTGTCCTATGAGAGTTTCTATTAGGTTGAGCACACGTATTCTAAATTTCTAATCTCTTTTCATTCAGTGCACAGTAAATAGGCAAATTATTGAAAATATTCTAACTTCAATAAATTGCTAAATTATTAGGCTACAAACTACTCACGCATTATCTCCAATACTGGAACAACTGAAAACTTAGTCCGAGAAAGACACAAGTTGATCGCCGAAAGTTGACCTTGAGAAGTGCGGCTCGTTGAATAAGCGTCCTGTAGTGTCACCATGCCCAAACCGTCACTCCAAAAATGCGTTCGCGGAAGTCATATT